TTTACTTTGAGTAGAGTAGTTTTAACCAACTAGATGTTGTTTTTTCAACCAATCTATTCTTAGAATCGATCCAAACTCCCACATCTCTACTAAATGCTGAGGCTGTTTAAATGCCTGCCGATGTAACGGCTTCGTCTGTAGATCTGGGATTTTAGATCTGGAGTTTAGTCAAAGTAATCTGTGTTTCTATTTTCTGAGGCCGACTTCACAACAACGGAAACAAAAAGATTCCTTTTAATCCGCCATGTTTTTATTGGCCGTTATCTGAGTGAAGCGGTTTCCATCCAGACGGGACTCTCCCCGGTTTGACAGGAAATCTTTGTCTAGGAGCTCTAGCTCATATAGAAACGGAATGATAGAATTCCCATCATCACCAAGCCTGTGCTCTGATTCTCCAGACTGGAAGCCCCTCCCTGGCAGATGGCGTCTCCCGTCTCTGCGTACCGCGCCGGCCCTTTGGACTCGCACATCTCTAGTGTAGGTTGGATCTGTGTGTTCTGTTTCTATACCTGTTAGAGAAGCTTTCCTAGACCTGTAGTTGTTTAGTCCTGGATCCCAAAGAGTCTGAGGGAGGAAGTCCTGCTTTTCATCGCCCTGAACTTTAGATGTTGAAACCTGAATCAGTTAGCTAAACGGCCTCACTAGCGGCCGTCGCTATGCTAATCATCAGGCGTCCTGGATAACCCCCCCGCCCTAATCTGTAGGTTCACGTTAGCCATTGAGATTAACTCCGCTAACTTACTCAGCCTGAAAATAAAGCAGAGCTTAACTTTAACGCTCAGCGCTGTAGGAGCAGCAGGGGGCGCCAGATGAGCTCAATATGATCATCAGAATTGAAGCTTCAGCTGTTTGTTTAAATCATAGATGTACCAACCTCAGATGGTGACTGTTTAAAGGTCTGGCTGTTTAAATCATAGATGTACCAACCTCAGATGGTGACTGTTTAAAGGTCTGGCTGTTTAAATCATAGATGTACCAACCTCAGATAGTGACTGTTTAAAGGTCTAGCTGTTTAAATCATAGATGTACCAACCTCAGATGGTGACTGTTTAAAGGTCTAGCTGTTTAAATCATAGATGTACCAACCTCAGATGGTGACTGTTTAAAGGTCTAGTTGTTTA